ATATTGTTAAATACATTGTTATATATTATATTAATCCAATCTTCTCTGTGTTCTAATTAAAATAAAATCTGCTTTCCCCGAATTTCTGAAAAATATTTGTGAACCGCGGTCCCTCTCCAAATACTCAGCAGGGCGTAGCTGGAGAATTTACGCTTTCTGAACGAATTCTGATACCGTGGCGCGCGGAATCGCTCCTGGCGCCCAATTTTTTAGAATTGTCGTAAATACCGATATTCGATACCGTTAGTTACCTTTCGAATATTACCTTTTTCTGTTTTGGCGACTTGCTCGAGGCGGCGAATTAACGTCGCACAGTACATATAATTTAAAATAAATAGATAATACTTTAGGTGTATTTAACATTTAACAAGCATATTTATATATTTATATATTATTATATATTGATTAATTTGTATTATTATATTATATTTAACAGTAAAATTTATTGTAATATTATATGGTTATTTTTTTGTGATTATACTAGTATAATATATAGTTTAACTACTTCAAGCAAGTTTGCAAAAATATAAAAAACTTGAGGCAAACGTCATAAAATTTAGTAAATATAGAGGCATCGAATAGTAACGCATCTATATAAACAATAATTGAAGCAGTAAAAGAAATAGTACATACAATATAAAAAATTATTCATGTGAAATACATTCACCTATGCATAGCTGCAATTTTTTTATTTCCATCATTGATTAAAACGGATGCTTTCATAAAATTGTATCTGTCTGTTGATTGATTGTTTTGCGAATTAATATCCTTCCTTTTAATTCTGTCAAAATTCTGCGTTGCGAGATCCTAATATATAAAAACAATGAATTGCATAATGAAATCAAGATACTGTTTATATAATAAATAAAAAAATATAAACTAATATTTCGAGATTAATAAATAGAACAAAATTTTTTTTCTTTCGCTTTCCATAATAATATTTATTAAAAATATAAAATGTGTTAATAAACCGACCACAACTGGTAATGTTATTATTTAGTTATTTATTCAAAATTCAGACAACGTTTTAACCTTAGTTCAGGTCCTTATCAAGTCTACAATCAAAAAGTAATAATTATAAATGTTGATAAATTAATAATAAGAAACACATTTTTAAAAAATGAAAAATTGCGTAAACTAATGTATATAAATAAATTAAATAAAACATACCTGCTAAGAAATAAATTGACAAACTTCTACAAATAAAATTCATACTAAAGTTCATCCTATGTTTGTTGGACATTAACGTCGTTATATTGGAAAACGAACTAACTAAGCAGCCTTAATAACCAAATCATATATACTATATAGGATTTAAATTCTCTGTGTCTTTCTGAGGTTGATCGTGTTGTTAAATTTTTTAATGTAAAACATTTCTGCTAACTCTCTTTTTTCTCATATGTATTTCCCGATGTAAAATATTAAAGGTTGTCCATTTAAAGTCGTGTAAAAATTCACTTCTATGTTTGCTTATTATGTTATGGTTATTATTGTGCACTTTTATGTTATTCATGTGTTCCTTTATACGAGTATTTAAATGTCTTTTAGTCTGTCCGATGTATGTAGCGTTGCAGTCATTGCAGTCAAGTCTATAAACAACCTCAGTCATCTCCGCTTTGGGAAGTTTGTCTTTCCTCTTTTTATTACATAATCTAATTTCTTTGGTATCGTATAGATAACATTTAAGCCTGCTTTTACAATAGATCGCTCGATAGTATTACTAAAATTCTTGATATACGGCATTGGAATACAATTTGAAATATCAAATTCTTTATTATTTTGTATTTATCCCCCACGACGTAGGATTTTTTAAGAAAACAACTCTCTTGTGTAAAAAACGTTCTATAATTGCGTTGGGAAAACAATTATTAGATAAAATTCTTTTGACTATATATAAGTTTTTATTATGGAAACTATCATCAGACAACAAAATAGCATGATCAACTAAGTTATTAATAATTTTATACTTAAATGGGTGATTCGAATAAAAGTTTAAATGTCTACCAGAAGATGTGGGTTTCTGGTACCTATTTGTTAAAAGTTTCCCGTTGTTTCTAATAACCGTTGTGTTTAGAAAATTCATCATATTATTTGTTTCAATCTCATAAGTAAATTGTAAACGTTGATGATAATTATTGAATGTAGTCAGGATATTATCAATCTCAGAACGTGGAATTATTGCAAAAATGTCATCAACATACCTATAATAAACTGAAACCTTACATTGTAAAGCGTTTAAACATTTCGTTTCGAGATTGTCCATAACTAAATCAGCCAAAATAGGTGAAAGGGGGGAGCTCATTCAGGTACCATGAATCTGTTCGTAAAATTGATCATTAAAACAAAAACTTGTAGACTCTAAAAGAACTTCAACTCCATATAAAAATTGTGAGCTAAAACTGGTGTTACCAGAAATGTCCGTCCAACGTTTTTCAATTGATTTTAAAACTAAGTCTGTAGGAATATTTGTGAACAAAGAAGTAACATCAAGTGAAATCAACATTTCACTATCGTCAATATTAAAGTTTTTAATTTTATTCACAAAATTCCAACCATTTTTAATGTGGGAAGCAGATTTCAAGACTGACTTTTCTAAAATATCGTGCAAAAAACGTGCTATATGTTGAGATTCGCATTCTCTTTCTATTATATTGTATCCTATTCTGATTATATATGTTTTCGTTCTTCGCGCGTTTCAGTACAAAATATGTTTATTCGTTTGTCCGTGCTGACGCGCTTTTGCTGTTCCATTTATATTGGTCATGATTCTCGATCACTCTCCCCATTCTTGTCCGAGAGTCGTCGTGATATATACACGTTCACCAAAGGTCTAATAAAGTTTGTTACTTATACGATCGGACTATTGATTAATTCTTCAAGCAATTTCGTGCTCCCCATTATCCTGCGCCAACACTATATTGTAAGCTGGACTCCTAATTGACGAGACAATAATTCGTAAAGGAACATTAACTTTATGTATTTTCGGTAAACCGTATGCACGTGGAAGATTACCGTTAGTGGTGTTAAGTCTTTTATATGTTACGTCGTCAATCAATTTATTATCACGCCATGATTTAATTAAAGAATTTATTCTATTAAATAGTTTTTTAATCGGATCTTTTTTCAGTTTATTATAAGTTGATTAATCGTTAAGAAAAACATTCATTTTTTCAATATAATCTTTCCTATCCAAAATTACCGTCGTTTGTCCTTTATCCGCTTTTGTAATTAAAATATCATCATTGTCGCGTATAAACTTATTACATTCCTTCGAGATATTAATGATGTGTCTATCTATGAAGCTAGTGTGTTTCTTTCTACTGAGAAATCCATGTATCGCTTTTGTAACTTCGTTTCAAGTTGATTTTAATAAGTCCTTAGGGATTTTAAAACAATTAGTTTCTAAATTATTAGTAACATCTAAAACAGTATTAATGCGGTCAATTTTGTTATTCTGTAAAACGGGCATGCCAAATTTCTCACTTAAGCTTAAAAAATCTAGAGTATTTTCAGGAATAACTGTATTACTAAAGTTTCTAACCCATTTTGATCTGTCAATCATACTAAAAAAGTTAACATTAACTCTATTGCTTCGAATTAAATTATTAAACTTTTTTATAGCATTATACTTTTTTGTTCGATTAAATTACGTAGTTTATGATAATTAGATTCAAAGAATCTATCAATTAAAAACCGTGGTAAACTGCCATATAACCTTTCTTCGATGAAATGTAATTTTGAATGTAAATACTTTAACTTACAATTTAGATCTTTAATTTCAAAGTTTAATAATCTAAATCCTGTTCGTTTAACATAATCGTCAAAACGATCAGTTGTGGTCGGTTTAACACATTTTATATTTTTAATTCACTGGCAACTCATAATTTACTCGTAATATTTATTAAATTTACCTTTTCTACGTGACAACTAATAAATAAATTTGTTGTTTTATTAATTATATTAATTATGTCTGCTAAGTCCGTCTTCCATCTTTCAACGAATTCTTCTATTAACTAAAATATTTATTTTTTAACATTATTAATAAATAACGTTTTTGTAACATTATAACATTATCAAAATTATTTTAAACATTATATAATAATTATTAATATTGCATTATTATCACATTTTGTAAACATTATAAACATGTAAATTTTTACCTTAGTTTGATTTACGGAATATACGTTAATAATAATAATAATTAATGCTGCAGGTATAGTAACAGGTCTAAAACCGATAAACAGATGTATATATAATACACATCAAAACTTTTGTACAAAATATTTATAAAAATATGGCACATTACTTTGGTTTTTTTTCTTGAAAATAATTTAATAAATGCTCCAGTATAGTTTGATTCTTCGCATGCTTTGTAATAATATGTAAGAAACTGTTAAAAAAATTTGGATATTTATTTTGTGTAGAAATATTTGTTTTAATGTTAAATACGATTTGATGCGATTAGTATCTTCAGTGCAAGCCAAGTATTCTAAAAATTTAGTGTCTTTTTTTCCAAACCTATCACATACACAATTTCCCAAGTATTCTCTTTTTCGGCAGTTATCATCAAACCTTTACAATATGTCCATTCCTTTCACCATGGCATAAGTCTGAAATAAAAAGAAAATTAAATTTTCCTATTAAAAATTAGCATATAGATCTCTTGATTAAACCATTTGAACATTATAAAGGATATCAATAAGAAAATTTAATTAAGAAAGCGTAAAAGTATATAATAATATTTACCTGTATGTTTTAGGTTGTTCGCAATGTTGTTTTAATTTTATGTTGGCTATTTTCTTACAAGTAATGTCACCGAGAAAACATGCCCATCTTGCAGCTTCTTGTCGTAAACATATTCTAAGTTGGTCTGTATCATCATTTCTTCATATTTGATTCTTTCAAGTACCTTGATTAATGCCAACTTTATGCAATTCTAAAAATCGTTAAATATATATTTCTTTGTTTATATTCTAAATGTATATAAAAATCATTATATTTTTCTATTATTTCCCAATGCATTATTAAAATATTTTTTTTTTATGAGACAAATATACATACAAATTTATTTATAACCGTGAGCGTTTATTTATGTACGTACATATGTTCATATATACATACATGTATGCAAAAATATGGTTTAATTTGTGCGAAATGTTTATACAATAATATTTAAAAGATATTATTAAAGTTATATAACTATTTATCAATTATATTTTATTTTTAAATAAGGTAAAAAATACCTATATATATCTTTTTGAAATATGTAGGAATCGAAAATCCGAATTTATCTCGTATTTTATATGTTTAATTTATTTTTCTTATTGAGCGTGTTTGGACGTCCCTGTCAGGGTAAATGATTGATTTATGTCAGTATTTGGATAAGCCAATGTCTTGTTTTCAAAGAGACTCGTGCTCTTGTTTGTCTCGCAACGACTAAAATCCCAAACAAGGAGGTAAGCGTGTCTTCGCCGGATTGGCCGGCGGATTTTTCGAGATCGAGACGCGGAACCATTTTGGCGAGCGTTGGTGAAAGAGGAGTCAGACGATAAGAGTCCGCAAAAGAATATAAACGCGCGTGAAAAATCTTCGAGCAAACGTTAGGTACACCGCCGCCCGCGAATAAATTGTATAAGAGCTGTGTTTGATAACGTGCCTTCAGCGACTCTCCGGACCGTGTGCGTTGGGAGCCGTTGAACACGACCCGGAGTTGTGGTGTAACGGTTCACCTTTCCCGACGCCGCGGATCGGCTCGCCGGTTCCAGGATTCGGGAGGAAGGGGGAGATTCAGACTCGCTTATTCCTTATTAACAATGCTTTGGTTTATTCAAAAAGAAACAATAAACAAAATGTTTGTTGGCATAAAGCCTAAATAGAGAAACTTATTGACTACTCGGTATAAACAAAATGTTTGTTGGCATAAAGCCTTAAATAGAGAAACTTATTGACTACTCGGTATAAACAAAATGCGGAGGCGTATAGCCTGTAGCGGTGTCCGGAAAAGATTTACAAATTACCCGGTATAACTTAGAGATACGGTGTACGGAGGCGTATAGCTTATAGCAGGAAGAAACCGGAAACCGGGAAACCCGGCGTAATGACGAGAAACCCGTCACCCGGTGTATAGCAGGAAGAGACCGGAAACCGGGAAACCCGGCGTAACAACGAGAAACCCGTTGCCCGGCGTGTAGCAGGAAGAGACCGGAAACCGGGAAACCCGGCGTAACAACGAGAAACCCGTTGCCCGGCGTGTAGCAGGAAGAGACCGGAAACCGGGAAACCCGGCGTAACAACGAGAAACCCGTTGCCCGGCGTGTAGCAGGAAGAGACCGGAAACCGGGAAACCCGGCGTAATGACGAGAAACCCGTCACCCGGTGTATAGCAGGAAGAGACCGGAAACCGGGAAACCCGGCGTAACAACGAGAAACCCGTTGCCCGATACTAAAGGTAGGAGGCCAGAAACCGAGAAACCCGGCGTAACAACGAGAAGCCCGTTGCCTGGCTAGGAGGTCCGGAACAGGACTGGTGCCGGCTCATCCGTCGAGCCGGCTTATATACCCTGCCGGCGGTTCCCCCACTCTACATCGAGGCTGTGGTGGGGGTAACGCCGGCGTCGTAGTGGGGCGCCTCTGGGGGTTGTAGTGGGGCGCCCCTGGGGTAGGGTGACCCGTGTATCGTTATGTTTTTGTGTTTAGGGGCGCCTTAGGCGCCATAGCCTCAAGTGGCGGGCGGGTGATCGGCCCGCGAGGCGTTAGTAACGGCCACGCCGTTACACTACCCCCTCTCTAGACGGCGGATCGTACGTGGTCGGCCGAAACGGTCGAACCGTATTATCCACCGTCCAGTAGGGAAGGTGGCTCGGAACTTCCGAGTGGCGTGGGCGGTATGGCGCTGGAGGAATCACGGCGGCTGGCCCTGTCCTACGCCCCGATGGTTTCCTCGTCCTCTTCCTCGGATGCCGCCTTGAGGTCCTGCACATGGATGTGGCGGTGCCATCGTCCTCGGGCGTCCTTGAGGTCAACGATTACGGGGGATACGATCCTCCGGACAGTCATCGGTCCGCTGTACTTCGGGGCCAGCTTGGCGTTGAACGCGTTGGCCTTGCTGGACAGGGGGCGGTCGCGTTTCCAGACGCGTTCGCCCAGCTGCGGTCGCCAGTCTCGTCGCCGCAGGTTGTACGGCTTCTCTTGCCGCTGGAAGGCCCGGGCGAGGTGGATTCGGACCACCTTGTAGGCGTCCTCCAACTGGGTCTGGCGGGTGCTTGGTCCTGGTGCTGGTGCGGTTCCTGGTCGATCCTCTGGATGTGGGCGGGCGAGCTCTCGGCCGTGCAGGATGTAGGCCGGAGTGTATCCGGTGGCCTCATGTCGGGCGGTGTTGATGGCGAACTGTAAGGCGGGGATTCGCTCGTCCCAGTCTTTGTGCCGCCGGCCTACGTACTGGCTGATCATTGTTTTAACCGTACGGTTCGCTCGCTCTACCGGATTGCATTGCGGAGTGTACACGGGGGATGTCCGATGTTGTATCCCGTAGGAAGCTAGCAAGGCCTTAATGCGTTGCGCGACGAACTGAGTCCCGTTATCGGACACCAGGGCGACCGGACACCCGTGCCGGTATATCAGGCGGTCGGTGAGTGCTCGGGCTACGGCTACGGCGGTGGCTTTTCTAAGCGGGACCATCTCGATCCACTTACTGAACCGGTCTTGTATGGTTAATAGCCAGGTATGGCCGCTAGTGGATCGAGGCAGGGGACCGATCAGGTCTACGGCGGCTTGTTCCCATGGTGCGCGGACGGGGGTGGCCATCATCCGACCAGCCGGTCGTTGTTGACTGGCCTTGTGCCGCGCACAATTAGCGCACCCTCGGACGTACCGGGCAATTTCCCGAAACATGCCGGGCCAGTAATATAGCTGGGCCACCCGAGCCAATGTTTTGGAAATGCCTAGGTGCCCGGCGGCCGGGTCGTCGTGCATTCGCTGAAGCAGGGCGGGTCGTTGGTCTGTAGGCACGCACTGCTTCCATTGCTCTTCGGCTGGTGTTTCCCGGAAGTCCAGATCGTGGAGTATATGCCTGTACAATCGTTGATCCTGGATTTTATAGTCCGGGTGATCGGTCGGATGTCTCCGTACTTCGGCTAGTTTACGGTGGTACCACCGGCATTTCGGCCGGGTCACCGCCAAAGCTTCCGGGAGGCGGGAGAGGGCATCTGCCACCTGGTTAAGTGTCCCGCGCCGGTACTGGATGTCGAAATCATGTTGTTGTAATTCGAACATCCAGCGGGCTAGTCGTCCGGTAGGGGCCTCGATGTGTTGTAACCACTTTAAAGCTTGGTGGTCGGTCACGACGGTGAATCGGTAGCCCTCGAGGTAATCCCGCATCCGGCGTATACCCCACACGACAGCCAAGCACTCTAGTTCGGTAGCGCTATAATTCTTCTCGGCTGCGTTGAGGGTCCGGCTGGCGTACGCGATAACCCGCTCTCCTTCGCCGAGGTGTTGGGTTAATACGGCCCCTAACCCGTGGGCGCTGGCGTCGGTTTGTAGTAGAAATGGTCGCGCAAAATCTGGACAGGCGAGGACAGGTGCGGTGGTTAAGGCCTGTTTTAGTTTCCGGAACGCGGTTTCTTCTTCTTTTGCCCAGGTCCAGCGCGCTCTCTTTTTAGTGAGTCGAGTGAGAGGGGCGGCGATAGTGGAGAAGTCAGCGATGAATCGGCGGTACCATGACGCTACCCCCAGAAATTGCCGAACCCTGCGGAGGGTCGTGGGGGCAGGCCAATCGGTAATGGCTCGCACTTTCTCTGGGTCCGTCCGGATTCCGTGCCGATCGATAACGTGTCCGAGGTACCGGAGACTTGGCCGGCAGAAGTGACACTTTTCTGGGTTGAGACGGAGTCGGGCGTCACGGAGGCGGCGAAAGACTTCGGCCAAGTGGCCTAGGTGCTCCTCGAAAGTACGGGATGCGACAACTATGTCGTCCAAGTAGACGAGGACGTGTGGCTCTAATTCGGGTCCTAGCACGGTGTCGAGCAGCCGTTGGAAGGTGGCCGGTGCTGAATGCAGTCCGAATGGCATGACGCGGAACTGCATCAGCCCTCTCCCTGGCACCGTGAAGGCGGTTGCGGGGCGGCTCTCCGGAGTTAGTGGCACTTGCCAATACCCGCTGCGTAGGTCCAACGTGGACAAGTAGTGTGCGCCTCGTAGCTTATCCAAGGTGGCGGCAATGTGAGGCAGCGGGTATGCATCTTTCTCGGAGGCCGCGTTTAATCGGCGGAAGTCTATACAAAATCGGTAGGTCCCGTCTTTCTTCTTTGCCAGCACTATCGGAGAGCTCCAGGCGCTGGTGGAGGGCTCGATGACTCCTTCGGCTTCCATCTTTTGGACCTCTTGGTCGATCACGGCTTGCATGGCCGGATTACGGGGCCGATATCGTTGTTTAATGGGCGGCCCCGGTTTTAGCCGAATTTGGTGCGTGGCTTTGTCGGTCGGGCCGCGGACCGATTCGAACTTTGGAAGTTCGTTATTTAGAAAGGCCTGTAGCCTTAGCGCCTCGCTGGTAGTTCCTGGGCTGATACTGGCTGTCGCGATTCCATCTTTGGTTGTTGTCTCGGTGACAGGTCTGGGCGGCGGGCGCAGCTCGACTCCTAATTTCGCCCAGAGGTCTATGCCTATTAGTACGGCGTTGTCTAGTTGTGGTAGTACGGAGAAGCGGTGGCGGTACGATTTTCCTCGTAACCTGACCGTTGCTTCGATGGTCTCGGCAATGGGGACTTGCGTCCCGTCGGCCAGGCGTATCTGGGCTGCCTTGAGATCTGGGCTAGACGGTGTGCGGTTGATTCGGCGGGCCGTTTCAGCGTTTACGAATGAGATCTCTGAGCCGGAATCGAGGAGGCCCCACAAATGTTGTCCGGCGATCTGGATCCGGAGGTGCGGTCTCGGGTT